CACCTTGTGTACGACGATAAATTTCTTGTCTAATTTCAAATTGAAAATCTGGGTCAACAAATCGAGATCGGAAAGAATAACAAAAGTCTTCAAAAGTTTTCCATAAATGGCGAGAACCACGAAACCAATTAAGAGCAATACCAGAAAGAAAAAAGGGCATAACTTGTAATAATGTTTCATCAGAAAAAGGAACAATAGAACGACCTTCTCTAATTTTCATTAAAAACGCTTCAGGGTCTTCAGATTTGGAACCAACAAATTTTAAATTCCATTTTCTCATAGTTTCTAATGCAGAAGCTCCGGAATTTTTAAAATCTTGGGGTCTATATGAATTTTCAAAATGAACTTGGCGGCGGTCAGGATTATCATAATTAGTGTATCGATAATCTCGGTCATAATGAGGTCTATTATTTTTATCATGTAAATCTGAAAAATCATTTCTTTGAGAGGGATAATTTCTTTCAAAAGGGTGTTTTTCAAATTCAAAATCTTTATTTCTTTGTGAAGGGTTGGAATAGTCATAATTTTTTGAAGAATCTCTATTAAATTCATTATAATTAAAGGGAGTTTCATGATTATTTGTAAAGTTTCGAGAATATGCATTATTTCTTGATGAACGAGCATAATCTTTGGTATCATATTTAGAAAAATTGGAATTTTGATATATATTCCTTGAATATTCTTGATATCTGTTATCAACAGGTGGATTATTTTCAGGATTATTTCTTGGAAAGGATTGATGTCTAATATTTCTTTGATGAAGAACATCATTATTATGATTGTCCATTAACTGATTTGATCTAAAGGAATCATTAAAATTATCCCGATTTAAATGCATTGAAATATCACTACTATTGCCATCAAAAGTTATTAAATCATCGTCACGAGTTTCATGTGTTTGATTTAAATTTTCGTTATTAATAGGATCAAAATTTGATCCATGATTAATATTATTTTCAAAATTTTGGTCATCAGTAGGGTTAGGGATTAAATCATCAACCTGATTTCTTGCATAATTGGGATTAATAGGGAGGTCATAATTTTTTATTAGTCGGTTGCGTCTTCCTGCAACATTTCCGACTGTAGATAAACCGCGTTTCTTTAATTCAATGCTCAGTTCTTCTTTACTTAAATGATTGACCCATTGGTCCAAATTGTATGGCAAAGGATTCATTTTTACCAAAAAAAAAAAATTAAATCAGTCTCAAGTTTAATTCAAAATTATTATTTTTATCAAATAATAATAAGTCGAATAGTAAAAGCAAAATTTTTGATTTCAAAGAAATTCCACAATAGAGCACAAATTGAATTAATAATTAAATAAATAAATTTAACATTAAAACATTAAATAATATTTTTAAATTCAAGCAGCGCATGCCCCACGTTGGGCGCCAAAAATGTAACCCTATTTGCAAGTTTTTAATTAAATAGAAATAATTTTTAGGTTACACTGGCGTTGTTAATAATTAAAAGATTAAATTAATAAAATTATTCGCGGGCGCCAGATCAAATGATCACAAAAAAAATAATAATAAATCACAACGACTTGATGTCCTCGGCTACTCAAAAGAAATCGGTAGAGAGGGGGGATACGTGAAAGAAGGCTGCAAGAATTGTCACAAAAAAAATTAATTTGAATTAATAGAAATAATTTAACAAAGTTATAAAATATAAATTTCACTTTAATTAAACATTTTTTTTTATTTATAACATGATTTTTAAAATGGCTGATTATAATAAAAGACAAGCAAAATGAACAATAAGAAAGACGCTTGTGCTCTCTTGTCACGGAATTTCCAAGATTGATTAATTTCTTTTTTATAAATTAAATCATGACAATCAATAAAAATTTTATCAAGAGATTTTTGGGGAAATGGTCAAAACACATAAATGGGGAATTAATAGTAATTACAAACACAAACTAATATTAAGGAGAAATAGGGTCAAAATTACAATTTTCAAATAATAAAGAAAACATTTTTTTTTATAAGAAAGAAATCACAATTAAAACATGCTAAAAATGGATTATAATTATCAATAAAAAGAAAAATTCAGAAAAAGGAAATCATTTTCAAGTTAAGTTAAAAATAAAAAAAATAAGAAAACTTTTAATAATATATATATTTTTCCTTTGCTGAATTTTTCAAAAAGAAAACAATCTTACCAAAAAAGTTTCACAATTTATGATGGCACAGCGAAAACACAAAACAATTATTAAAATAAATATACAACTTTTTTTTTTAAGATGTTGTTTCTTCGGAGGTTGCCGACAAAAGAGGACGATAAATGATATTTTGTTTTCTATGTTGTTAATCGGTAACCATGCACCGGCATTCAATTGTCTTCTGCTATTTTTCGTGTGTTGATCCAGGGACGGGTTGTAAGGGTATTTTAGTGACCCTTTTAATATTCCATAATAATAATATTTTATTATTTTATCCAGATGTTTCAAAATTAAATAGATAATCCAAAAAGTCTCTCCTCCATTATCTTCTAATAGTATTCTGTCAGGACTATGTCATAATAAAACACAACGGGAATAAATCCAAATATTATACAAAATGCTTGACAGGTTCGTATGACGATTCAAATGGGCCATAGGCATCAGGAGCTTCGCGTTTAGAAGACGGAAGGCTAGTTGAATTCTACCAAGGTTATATAATTTGTAGAAAATAGAAAAGTAGACAAACATCAATTTCGTCATAATATATAATTAATATAAAATATCCTTGGGCCATGGATTTGCGGAAATATGTATTAGGTTTTGATCTTCTGATTAGTCAATGGACAACACAATAAAAAAAGGCGGCAAATTTTGAAATAATTTCAGGAATCTTCAATGGATAATCATTATTTTCCAACAGATAAGAGGCGTCCCAATCATCCTTGGATTAAAATTACAATTTCCCACGATGACTCGTTGAACAGGAATCAGGAATCGGGAAACGGAGTTTATATAAATAAAAATAAATTTATAAAATTAATAAAGGAATCTTAAATTAATTAATTTAAATCAATCTTGGAATATCCGCTGCAACCTCCAAATGTTTAACAAAAATATTTTTTTTTTTTTTTTAATAAATTAAATTTGTGAATTGTAAAATTTAGAAAAAATTTTACGTCACATCAAAAATTAGAAAATACGTGTTTCAACCAAAAATTTTTTTACACTGTAAATGGGTTAGAATTTCTCAAACGGATCACCTAAAAGTCAGAAATTTTTTATTAGTCTCATTTTTTTTCTCAACTGTTTCTTATACAAAATTGTGTAAGGAATTCAAAAAAAAATTTTAATTTTCTGTAGGACGTCAAGAACACTATTTTTTAATAACATTTTATAAATAAATAATATAAAAATCTATTAAATATGAAATTTTTTCAAAATAAAAATTATATTTAGAAGCTACATTTTAAGACGAGAAAACCCCTTTTTTTTAATTGGTGAACAGGAACTCGAGAAAAGAATTTTTTAAAATAAGACTGTAAAAAATTTCAATTGTTTATAACTTTAACAAAAAAATTTTTTTTGACCTAAAAATTTAAGGGACTTATTTTTACCATGTAAGGAGTCAAAAGAAATTATTTTTGATTAAAAAAAAAATTTCTGAATTTTAGGTGATCCGTTTGAGAAATTCTAACCCAAATATAATTTTTTTATCCAAAAAACTGATTTCTCGCATTAAAACAAATTGATTAATCTATATAAAGTCTATGTTTTACTTAAAATCTATAAATTATATCAGTTTTTAATTTTTGAAAAAAAGTGTTTTTCGTATTATTTGAAATAACTTTTTTTATGAAAATTTTTAATAAATTTTGTCAAAAACGTATTCCTGGCATGAAAACGAATCGATTGATGTATATAAAGTTTACATTTTACCAATATTTGTAAAATGGATCGCTATTTTAATCTTGAATATAAGTGTATCATGATGAGAAAACTAGACGGTCATGAATTGAACACCTTTTTTCCTTTATTATATTTAATAATAATAAAGTTTCTTTAAATGTCCGATTTCTTGGTTTCGCCATTATCTTCTGCAATTAAAAATCAACAAATTAAAAAAAAATTATATTTTTGTCTCACAATTTAATATCCTCAGCCTCAATTGTCGAGTATAGTATGAATTAAAAATAATCCTGTCCTCAAGAGGTCTAGAAATCTACTGAAGTTTTGAAAAAAAAATCGTTACTACGATAAAGGCTTGAAAATGTAAACATACAAGGAGTATATTTTGTGTACAAAAAAATGCGTGTAATACCACAAACCATAACAATAAGTTTTAAATAAGGAAAAATAACACAGCCACACAAAAAAAGTACCCGGGCCGGGGAATGAGACCAACATTTCTTGATGTATTTTGATGCGCTGAACACGAATCTGAAGTCCGTTTAGCTCCATCACGTCAGGATTTTGACATAACCTCAAAAAACATAGCTGATTTTAAATGACAGGAGAAATTTTTTAAATAATGGCAGATTTGCTTGAATCTTGTTACTCGGGGGTTTTTGGGGTCGCTGATTACGAATTTAACGTCAGATTTATAAAATTCAAAATCGCGGATCCAATATGGCGGACGAATTTTTAAAAAGTAGTTGGATTTTTACGAAAATTGGTATCTAGGGGCAGGCCCGGCAGATAACGTGGGTACGGTGGGTAGTTTGACCCACCCGGAAAATCCCTGGGTGGGTAATTACCCACCCGGAATTCAGTAACGTTCTTTTAATAAATACATACGTTCTTGTTATAAAAACATTGTCTATAAATATATATTTATAAACTTTATAGAATTTCCATATATTTTTAAATTTGTCGCGGGAAACGTACGCATCTCGAGTATGCGCATACGATACAAAGAGATGAACTACATAGCAGACTATAGAAAGCATAGTTGAATCCAGTTGAATCGTACGCTTGAACAAGTACTGAAACCTTGGAAGAGTATATCTGAAAGAGCAGTTAAAAGACAGGCAGGAATAAAATCCAAACAAGAAGAAAGATGGATAAATTCGTCGTTCGTAGCAAGAGAAAAAACGAGGACGTAGATGATCTTAGAGCATCTTTAGAATTAGAATCCAAGGCGGTTGCGGCAGTCGACAATGTTAATCGTGTTAATCGGGTTGAAAATCAACCAGTTCAAAATCAAGATTGTAAAATAAACTATTCAGAAAATCGTGAGTGTAGAGCATGAATTGCAGAACAATATTTTATATGATAAAACCAAGATAAAACAACACTTCAAATAATAAACATCAAAACATAACCTCATTTAAAAACTACAATTTTACTTTCGAGAAACAGGTCCATTCAAAACAATTAAATTATTTATTTTAGCCCTTGTTAAAAACAACATTTTACTTTATTTTGTTTGCAAAACTATATTTTAATTAATTATTGTTATTTAATATTTTAATTTCTAATATACAGGTGTCAGTCCTTAAACATGTTGATCTATAAAAATTTTATTTAAAAATTTTTTTCTAGAGCCGGCTGTAGGAAAATCTACAGTGCCCTCAAAATTTAAAACTTGGAAGAAAGAAAATCCGTGGCTTGAACTGAATGTAAATAATTGTACTGTACTGTTGATAATTTGTACTGAAGCGTGTGAACGAAAATTAATTATCAATTTAGATTCGCGCAGCATTTCATCGAAGCAAGCTTGGGTTGATGATGGATTCTCAAATTGGAAGCATGGATTGGAGCGAATAAAAGCTCATGTGAAAAGTAATCTTCATCGTGACAGCAGTGAGGCATTAAGCAACGTTAAAGAAATTAACGTGGCAGAACTAGTATCAACGTATCACTTGAAACAAATGATAGAAAATCGAATGGCATTAAGAAAAATTTTTTGTACACTAAGAGTGCTTGCAAAACAAGGTTTACCTACAAGGGGAGACAACAATGATGAGAAGTCAAATTTCATGGCGTTCCTGAATGCTCGTGCAGAAGATGTGACAGAACTACAATCCTGGCTTCAAAGAGGTGGTCACAAATGGCTACATCATGAAACCCAAAATGAAATTCTCAATCTGATGGCCAATGCAATTTTATCCGAAATCATGAAAGAAATAAGAGAAGCGGAATTTTTTTCGATTTTACTTGATGAAACGTCTGATATCTCTCGAACTGAGGAAGTTTCTGTGTGCATTAGAATCTTTTTCGATAATTTAACATCAAAGGAGTATTTTATTGGTTTCTTCTCTATAAAAGATATTAAAGCAAAAACTTTATTCGACCTCGTGAATGAAATTTTAGTGTCGCACTCATTGTCACTTTTAAAACTTAGAGGTCAGTGTTATGATGGAGACGCGAATGTTTCCGGTAACATCTCTGGATTGCAAACGAGAATACGAGAAGAAGAACCTCGAGCGTTATTTGTACACTTCACTGCTCATAGAATGAGTCTTTGTTGATTCTTTCTTAAAATTAATATGTGTTTCCTCATGGATGAATTATTCTATATTGGCAAAATTTCTCGATTATGATTTATTAAATTACTTCGATCTTTTTAACTTTAAACCTATAAATTCTGCTTTTAAGGATATGTGGGAAAAGGGACATTTTTTTACAGTTTCAAGATTTCTCTGAAATGAAAAGAGATTTTAAGTTAAAATTTTGAGGAACAATAAATAAGGGTTTATAGAATTCCACTCTTCATCTAATTTTAATAATTTAATTTTTAATAATTTTACGGGTAAATGAAATAAGGCAATAAATAGTGAGTAAATAGTTTTATTTTTAGTTCAGTTGATGTCTACGAACATATGCTGAAAGCGCCATGACTGATACTCGTTCCCAAGTTGCTTTTCAAATTCATTCAAAATTAGAGCTTTTCTAACTTTTATTTTTTATACTTAAGCAAAATTATGCTTTAAACGAGAAGAGTAGAAATCTGTGGTCCCTCCTCTATCATTCCTCAAAATTTCAGCTCGAAATTTTCTATCACTTAAAAATAAGATTGAAACTCAGAAACCCTATTTTCCCGCTTAAAGTCACGTGGGTATTTTCCACATACCCTTAGGAAAGAATTTAATTATTGAAATTTATAAAATAAAATTTTTAAATAAAATTAACTTTTTATAGATGGGTAGTACGAATCAAGTCTTTAAAGACTGTAAGTCTAAATTACGTACCACTAATGCAGTTTTTGCATGATCGCTCAGAGGATGTAGAAGTCGATAGTAGCATCTCTGCTAAAGCTTCAGGATTTTACAATTATTTGGAATCATTCGAGTGTGTATTCTTTTTAACGACGATGATTGAAATATTTGATCATATAGAGGTTTTAAACAAAGAACTGCAAAATTCGGAACTATGTGTTATCGAATCATATCAAAAAATTGAAGCTGTAACTGATTTTTTAATTGATTCTCGAGATTCAAAATTTGTAAAAATTTGGCAAAAATGCCTTGAAACTGTTGACAAACTTGAACTCGAAGAACCTAAACTTCCACGACAGCGTAAAATTCCAAAACGTATACAAACATCTACAAGCGAAGACCACAGATTCAACACACCCGAAGACTTTTACAGAAAATTGTACTTCGAAGTTTTTGACCAAATAATTGTGTCCTTAAAAAGTAGATTCGAAAATGATTCTGCAGGATTTTTCAAATCTTTGGAGCAATTTGTTATTGGTGAGCCTGTAAATGTAGACGAAATTGTAGACTTTTATAAGGATGATTTCGATAAAGAAAGATTGATCAATGATAGGGAAATGTTTTTGCAACTCTTGAAGAGAAAAAATGTTCAAGTGAAAAATTTGAGGGAAGTTGTAGATTTTTTAAAGCAAAACGAGTGGAGTAGAGGATTAATTCTAGAGTTTGTGCGTTTTGTTAAGCTGCTCATGACGATTCCAGGATCATCTTGTTCAAACGAACGAAGTTTCTCTACACTCCGACGACTTAAAACTTATTTGAGATCAATGATGCGACAAGATCGATTGAATAACATAGCCCTTATACATATTTACTCTGAAATGGCTGACAAACTTGATTTAGAGAAACTATTAGATACTTTTATTTCACAAAATTCAAAACGCAGTGCAGTTTTCGCATTGAGCAGATAAGTTACTGTTAATAGTAGTTATTACTATGATTTTTGTCATTATAAACATATTATTAATAAAGAAAATTCCAATCATTTCATTTCTTATTTTTTACTCTTAAATTTCAAACAAGATAATTTTCTCCCCTACCCCCCCCAGGGCAACTACCCACCCGGGAAAAACATGATCTGCCGGGCCTGCTTCCACCAACCTTGCGACAAGGTTACCGTGCAAGCTTACTGAACACTCTTGCGATAATATTAATTATTATGCAATCTTGCAGTAATCTTACACTGCAATCTTTCGGTAAGCTTACCATGCAAGCTTGGGTCAGGTGGTACATTTGAAGATTGCAGTAAGCAACTTTATTTTTAAAATAAAAGTTTGTTATTACCAAAAATACGTTTATTTATGCATATTGTGTATATTGGAAAAGAAAAAAATTTTGTTGTATATTTTTTCCTACATATTTTAAAAACAAATATGTTCTTTTTTTAATTTCGCAGCAATTTTTCCCTTAAATAGAGATTTAACGTTTTTGTATTTTGCAATATTTAGAATAATTTCAGCATTAATCAAGAGATTCCAAAATTTTTAAAATTAAATATGGTTCAATACTCTTTTTTCAATCCTACAAAATTTAAAAATTTTCTTGAAAATATTATTGCGTAAGACATTTATTTCTGAAGGTATAGGTGCAAAAAGCTTGTACAAATAAAAAATTTTTTGAATTAAAGAAAGCAATCTTTTTTAATGAATTAAATTGTTAGTATAAATTTTTTTTTGGAGTATTACATTGAAGAAATTTTTTTAATTATAATACATTTTTTTGACTCATATAAATAATTATCTAGAATAGTCACTTATTAAACAATAATTTAAATTATTATTGTTACATAAACTTAAAAAGGAGTAAATGCTATTATAGAACGCATTTTATTTACACCCAGTAAAAAAATAATTAAGAGTAAGCGAAAAAAATTGACGGTGACTTAAGCTCAATTCAATTTCGCGTCTAAACCGAATTGAGACGTTATGGTTGAAGCATGCATAAGCTCTCAGTCCGGGGATTTCTCTAATATTATATTATTTCTAATTTTTATTTAATTAAATTTATGTGATACATTGATTTTGAAAAGTAAATGAGTTCAAACACGTGGTTGAATGACCACAAACATAAATGTTTAGGTAATTATCACCTACATACTATCAATTTCTAATACAAAAGAAATAATAGTTATTGTTCAAATTTAAAGAGACATTATATTCTTAAATTCTATAGTGTAATACAATGAAACACGTTAGAACTATATCATCAGATAAGATTGTCAAAATATAATAGAAATTTATGAATGAAATAAAATTCTTATAAGTTTATTTTGCTTATTTCTTATTCTATACTTATATTTTCTTATCTTTTATTTTTAAATTATTAGTTGCTTTTCAAACTAAATTAGAGGAATCTTTCGAATAATTATATAGTTTTTAGCTTTTGTTATTAAGTTTTCAAAATTCATCTACTTGTTTAAATAATTCAATGTTTATTGTTTCGAAGAATTTGATGTTAAAGAAAAATAATATTAAATAAAAGAATTATATTTATTTAGATTTTTTTTAAATAAACAATTAATTTCACGATATAGTCTTTATTATATTGTGCAACAATTTTTGGGTCATTGTTTCTTTCCCGAATCGGTCTAGCCTTAAACTAAACTTAATGTATAGACAAATTAAACCCCACAAAGGATTTCGAAAAATTAGCATGATTTTTATGGGCTTTAGAAGTTGAAACTACGATTTGTTTAATTTTTGTGATGTTTAGTTTTAAAATTTGGATCAAATTATGATTTAGAAAAATTGTACTGCAAATTTTAACCCATTAAGCCCCAAATGCACTGAAAATGCTATCAAAAAAAGGATTAAAAATGTTAAATAATTTTTTTTAATTTTTATTTGCAAAATGACGCAATTTAGCTAAAAATGTTTACTTGGGGATTTTCGGGGTCGCTGATTACGAATTTGACGTCAGAATTTAAAAAATCAAAATGGCGGATTCAATATGTCGACCAACTTTTTTAAAGTCGACGAATTTAGATAAAAATGTTTACTCGGGGGTTTCCAGAGTTGCTGATTACGATTTTGATGTTAGAATTTGAAAAATGTAATTGACGGATTCAATATGGCCATCAAAAATATTTTAATGTCGACGAATTCAGATAAAAATGCTTACTCGGGGATTTGTGGGATCGCTAATTACGAATTTGATGTTAAAATTTCAAAATTTAAAATGTTGAATCTAAAATGACAACCAAAAATGTTTAAAATCCATAAATTTCGCTAAATGCATTTAGAATACCATCTTTACCCACCTAGTCCCAATTGGTGTTGCCCGATTTTCACCACGAGGAGATAGATAGTTTTTGAGAAAACCCCCGAGTAAGCATCTTTAGCTAAATTCGTCGATTTTAAAAATTTTTGGTCGCCAAATTGGATCCGTCATTTTGATTATTCAAATTCTGTCACCAAATTCGTAATCAGCGACCCCGAAAACACATTTACACATTTAAATAATTTTTTATAATTTTTTGAACTTTTCGACGCAATTTTGAAAAAATAAAAATCTGGAGGAGAGAGGAAATATTTTTTGTTTAAAGTTTGACAATCGAGAGCACGTTTTATATACTTGATAACTGTCGGAAAAATTGTTTTCCTTTCGAAATATTTAAAATTTATTAAAAAATCACGTCACTTTGCAAATAAACATTATTTAACATTTTTTAAGCCTTTTTTGATAGCATTTTCGGAAAGAGCACAGTTAAATACGTTGGATGAAGGTTTCCTAAAAAATTAGAATTTTTTTTCTGTAAAATATCACTCCTTAAAGTTAGACTAAGAATTCAGTGCATTTGGGGCTTAATGGGTTAAGTCTTAAAAAATTAATGAAAAATCGAAATATGTTTATTTATTTGCGTTATGGTTATATAAGAAATCTCTTTTTAACGCAATTTTCTGAATTTTACCACAATTTATTTTTCATTTCATCCTACACTGTAAAAAAGCCCAATGATAATTTACCTCCCATATGTTATTTTACATTTAATTGCAAATGTACCACCCGTCGGTAATAATACATGCTAAATGTAAGTTTTGAGGGTTTTTAAATTTAAGTAAAATATTTTTGTAAAAGAAATTAAAAGGTAATAAATTATAATTAAATAAATTGAAAACAATTGGTGAAAAATAATACAATTTTATTATTTGAATAATAAGTTTTTTTAAAACAGTATAAAAAGTACAATAAACAAAAATTTTTTTACATAAGTATTGCTTTCAAAATAAATATTTAATCACTATCGTGTAGGTATGGCTTTTGTAATAATAATTGTAATTATAATAAAAAAAAATAAACAGAATTAAAATAAATTTAATCACTATCTTCTTCTGTTCCTTGTTCTTCTGTTACTTCTTCTTCTGTAACATCTTCGGCAGATTGATTTAGAGAAATATTTTTAATTTTATTGTAAAAAGCTATTATTTTCCTAAACGAATGTACAGGAGATTTTCCCTTACTTTCGCTGCCTTCAATATTGACGTTCATGAAGATTCGCTGCACAAAATCCAACAGGGTTGAATTTGTTGGAGTTATGGGTTTAAATAACGACACTTTATATATCTATATAAAATAATCTTAACAGTCCGGTTAGTAACCGAGAGTATTTCACGCGACAACGCAACAACGAATATCAAAGATAAAGTCGTATCGATTGCGGTCGATACAACATGGATCGATCATCGATCGTTCCATACATACATCAAGAGTATCGACAAAGCATTCAAACTTCACACTCCCTCCCTTTGTCGATTTGAAAAAGTGTTTATCATAGTATAATAATATTAATATTTGAGCAACAAACATATAACATAAAATTTGTAAAACTTTGGAATTACATTACAATACAGAAGTGATAATACTGCGCTGTAACAAACCAACAAATGTATATCACATAACTTGCTCAACTCATTATATTAATACCAGTCAAAAAGTTAAAATTAAAGTTTTAACCTAAATCTTTGATTAATCTTATATCAAGTCTTAAGTGGTTGTTTATTATTTATTTATTTTCTTAGGCATCTTCTAGATCAGCGAGACTCTTAATTTTAATTCTTGCGTCTGTCTGTGAACAAATAAAAAATTTTGATTAACTTCAATTTCAACTTAAATACGAAATGGTTATTATAAACAAAATTTCATATTTATGTTCCTCTAATCTCTTCTTTAATCATCTGACATCTTATTTCTCTAATCTTCTTTGTCATGATGAAGCATTATTAACTCTCACATCGGGGATCTATACTATTATGTGTGTTTATATTTACTTTCTTATCAATCATAGCCTTGATTTGGTTTGGTTCCGAGAAATTAATAATCATATATTTCTTATGGCAGGCGGTTTTTTTTGGCAGAAATCGTCATATCTTATAAAAAATTTTTTCTGTCAATTTTTGATAAAATAATAATACTAAATATAATTTGATTTTACTGGTGATAAATATACTGAAGTTTTCGGGGTCGCTGAATTCGAATTTGATGACAGATGAACCCAAAAATCTTAAATACGATGAAATCAAATTTTTTTGAAAGCTCTGTTTGGAACCTTATTAGGCCTATAAGTGATTTTTAACTGGACTGCGAAGAGGTTAAAAATTATATAGGCAAAATGCAAAATTTATGTCCTTAAACATTATGAACATAAAACAAATAAACATCTATTCATTTCTGCAAAAGAATTAAAATAAAAATTTGTTGGGGGTGGGTTATAACCCCATTTTATGGAAAAAATTAGGGGGTGGGTTGCGTGTACGGGTCATGTAGTACACGATTTATGCTATAATTTAAAACAATTTTGAAGTTTTTACCACATCAGGATAAAGAGAAAAATCATATTAAACACCCATAAAAACATGTTTCTTGGGGGTTTTTACCCCCACTTTTTTCAAAATCCTGACATGCTAAGCAATTT